ATTGCTCCATTCTGCTTTACCATGATGCTATGTACTTGATCCCTTCCGTGCGTCTCTGATTTCTGTACGTCTCCAACATGGCAGCATCTCGCAGAAACCGATCTCCAAAATTGGCTTGTCTGAAGTCCCCCTTCACCCTGAAAACCTGACCCTCTCGACTCAATCTACATAACCGAAGTATCTCTTCATATGTCTGAATACCTCTTCATCTCTCAAAGAATTTGTGACATACCATGTACAGTCGCTCTTCGACAGCCTTCTGGTGACCCATCTCCCGAAAGAGCTTCATTGCCTGTAGCTGGAGGAGCTGTTGTGGGCTTGCTATTCTGCTCGATGATGCAACCCTGAGGGTCCAAGGACCCAAATAATGCGGCTTTCTTTTGGCCCTAAATACCAGTCAGATTTTAGTATTGGGGCCCTAAAACCCCATTATTTGAGTCCCTGGACCCTTAGGGCAACAAATGGGACTTTGTCGGGGTGAAGGGACGTAAGGGACCCCAGGGATACCCTAGGTGGATCCCCAACAACCAGTAGCATCAGCTATAAGGGAGAATAGTGATTATACTGGTGTCCTCTTTATTCCTACTCCATCATTATTATAAGGTGGACGCTCAAAATAAGGGATCCTAGAACCCCAAAGAACCCTGGGATATATGCCCTAAGCCCTAAACCCCTAAACCCCTAAACCCTAAACCCCAAACTCTAAACCCTAAACCCTAAACCCTTAACCCTAGACCCCAAACTCTAAGCCCTAAACCCTTAACCCCTCTGAGCGGTTGCTGGCCAAGACAACTTCTTGTCAGACCCCCAGGCTCCATGTAGGAACTGCGGTGGATACGAAAAATCCTGCATGACCCTGACCCTAAGGGACTCAAATAACAGGGTCCCCTTAAAGGGTTTTAGGGGGATATAAAAGGATATATGGGGACTATATAAGGGGTCAAGGACCCAAATAGTAGGGTTTTTGGTCCCAAACACTAGAATATCAATGGTAGTTGGGCCCTACAACCCTAGTATTTGGGTCCTTGGACCCTTAGGGTGAGGACCTCAATTCGAGTGCTATAGTATAGTAAGGTCATGGAAGAATTTTCGTATCAACAGTATGTATGCACTTTGGGGCCCAATGTAGGTACCATTTAGTTAGAGCCCCAGAGAGATGGGGTTAAGGTTCAGTACTGCCCCCCCTCAGTAACAGTTGGATAATGAATATAATATGGTTATATATGGCCCTTAATAGGACCCCTAATATAGACTGTTACTGGGTGGGGGCAGTACCCAAGGGTTAAGGGATGTTTGCAGAACTCAAGGGGAGTTCGGAGTCTCCTCTGATGGATGTCTACACTACAGGTGATTTTTTTTGGGGGGGTTGCATCAGGGGACTCCCATACCCTCAGGGTCCAAGGACCCAAATAATATGGTTTTAGGGCCCAAATACTATAATATTGATTGTATTTGGGCCCTAAATCCCCATTATTTGGGTCCTTGGACCCTTAGGGATATATTCAGAGACGCCATATGGCCAGGAGCAATGCAGCGACGTGACCTGCAAATTGTCCAAAATTTGGCTTAACTCTTACGTTGTTTGTGTGAAGTCTAGCTAATGCATGAACATCCTCTTAGTCAGCAAAAGCCATGCAGTTGATAGGCCTCCAGCAACTTATTAGTTGGCGTGTGCCAGCCGCAAATGCGAAAGTGGTTCCGGCTGCAAATGACAACTGAAACCTTTCAGTCCACATCCCCTCGAGGCATCCAGACCTCCCGCCCCCTATGAGAACCCAAAGCCCTAACACACACTAAGCCCCTACTTTAAGAATCGCTCAACCCTAGACCCCATGGCGCCAATATGTGCCCTATATTTATGTAACGGTACCCCTTCAAGCCTTCGAAAGCCTAAAGCCTAGACCCTACAATGCTACCCTAAGGGTCCAAGGACCCAAATAATAGGGTTTTAGGGCCCAAACACTACAATATTTATCGTATTTGGGCCCTAAAACCCTATTATTGAGGTCCTTGAACCCGCAGGGCTAGGCGTGCACCTGGTTGGCAGCAGACTGCGCGCCTTTGCAGTGTTCCGGCTTCAGGTCGTAGAGCCGTCGTATGGCTTAGGGAATACATAGGGGTTTAAGGTTTAGGGTTTAGGATTTAGGGTGGGTAATATTGGGGTTATATAGGGGTTATAGGGGGATAATGGAAAATCAAGTGGAAACTAGTATAATGGGATAGGGGTAAGAGCTCTTCTAGAGCTCTTTGGGTTTAGGGTTTATATGTTTAGGGTTTAGGGTGTAGGGTTTAGGATTTAGGGTAACCAAGTGCACAAAGGCTATTTCAGCATTCTACAGAAAATGTACAGTTTACAGGATACAAAGTTTGGGGTCTTTACCCTCCAAGACGAGCTAGTGCGCCCGCCAGAAGTGTTGTACCTGGTATGTTGGCATCTTACTTTCTGATTCGTGGTATCAGGCTGCTCTAGATGAGGCTGACGCAACCCTAAACCCTAAACCCTAAACCCTAAACCCTATATCTGGTTCTTGGGGTGCTACACCCAGCATTCCGAGAAAGCAAGATACCCTAAACAACGATGTAGCGTCAGGGTTTAAGGTTTACCTTCGGCCCAAGAGACCCCTGGCTCGGGAAACCCACAACCCTAAACTTTAAACCTAAATCCCACAAAATGTGTTTTTTGTGAAGCCTTTGAACTGAAGAACTTTTTGGAGGGTCAAGGGGACTGAGGAAGGACATTGATGATCGGGCAAACTGGCCCTACTACATGGCCTCCCAGGAACTTATATGAGCTATAGTCTACACTCCTAGTAATCCCCCTGAATAACCCTTACAATGCTCCCCTATCAAATCCCCTATATGACCCCTTCGAGGAGTTTAGACTATCGCTCATACAGAGGTCAGAAGTCTACTTATGAAGCGCCCTAACCCTCCAAGCTTTGGCCTTAACCCTCGACCTTAAAGCCTAAAACCCTTACCTAAACTGCAAAAGTCTGCAGAACAATCGCCTTTTTGGCTACTTTGTTGGGTAGTTTACCAATACTTGTGAGGCTCAGGTAACCGTGTAGGTAGGGCAAACGGCTGTCATCAGCGATTTGCTTGCAGCTCTTCCCCACTTTTTCGGGTTTAGGGTGAAAGTTTAGCACCCTGCGGGGTTGAGTAGTTTCTGCAAATAATGGGATCCCAACATCCCCTGAATCCTAACACCTAAAACTGCGTGGCTGAAATCGATGTAATTGGGACCCTCAAAAGGCACCCCTAACTTTAGGAAGCCTAATCCCTAAAGCCTATGTCCCCTAGAACCTCTTGAAAGGTATCTCTAACTGTGGGAGACCCCGTTTAAAGTCTAGGGCCTGCAAGATCCCCAAAACAAAAGCCTGCGAAATGGTTTAGGGTTTAGGGTTTATAGGGTTAACGGTTGATAGGTTTAAGGGTTTAGGGTTTGTAGGGTTAAGGGTTGCTAGGGTTTAGAGTGTAGGGTTTTAATCTTCGCGAATCCCTATGAATCTCTGCGCATCCCAATCAAAGTCGCGAGATGACCTTCCAATCTAGAAGGGCCGAAGCTTTAGCCTTCAGCCCAAACCTTCCATCCCAACCCGAAAGAATGCCACAACAACCCCCAAACCCTAAACCTCAACCCCAAACCCCAAACCCCAAGCCCCAAGCCCTAAACCCTAAACCCTGAACCCTAAAACCTTAAACAATCCCAAGCCCTCAGTGAAGGATCCCGCACTTCTTTAAAGGACTCAATGGCCACCCCAATCACGGAATCCCAAGAATTTAGGGGGTTCAGGGTCTAGGGTTTAAAGTTTAGGGTGTAGGGGTTTTGGGGTTTAGGGCGGGAAGTCCAAGAAGATAGTAGAATTATGATAGGAATATAAGAAGGACCCGGGTAGGTATGTTCCTGTGATATTCCCACCACAGTCGTGGGATTCGCCCTTTGGGCTCCCCATGAGAGTCCTCTCACCCCAAGCCCGCAGGGAAGGGCCCTAAACTGTAATCCCTAAACCCTAAACTGGAAACCGTGTCAACTCAACACCCTCAAGCCTTTTACCACCAAACCACTCACGCCAAACCTTTACTTAATGGTCTAAGTACTGTAAGGAACGGCGGAACGAACAATTCGGTAGACTTCCATCCTATTCCTGCATTCGCTACTAACTACCAGCGCGACTTACAGAACCCTAAACCCTAAACCCCAAATCCTCAACCCTAAAACCTAAAGCCTAAACCCTGGACCCTAAACCCTAAACCGCGCGAGTGAAAACCTGAATCCACGACCTTGTAGGTCCGAGTCAACTGTGGCCCGGCTAACTGCCAAAAGCGCCGTAGCCTCCCCTGCATGGGATGCTCAGGTTTCCATAATCTGCGTTTTAGGGTTTAGGGTTTAGGGTTTAGGGGTTTAGGGGTTTAGGGGTTTAGGGGTTTAGGGTTTAGGGTGTAGGGTTTAGGGTTCAGGGTTTGAGGGTTTAAGGGTTTAGGGTCCTCAATATGAGCTACAATCAATATTACCCAGATAATTAGTGGACATGGGTTCCTTGTTCGGGACTACATTAGGGGCCATACTAAACTACAACACGGACCCCTTCGTCCACTGTTAATGGTCGCTTGGTAAGGCTAAGATTCAAAATAGCCCAGATTAATATGAAGACCACGCACGAATCTAGTATACAATGACGTCATATTGAAAATTTTCGTTTTTAGGGAGAAATCATCAGGGAAGGGGGCCTTTCATGATTCGAAGCTTCACACCGCAGGTTAAGGATGTAAAACTTGCAGGGTTGAAGCCTTATGGTGATAGAGCGCAGGGTTTAGGCTTGTGGATATACTGACATTCTACGCGGCTTGTAGGGCTCCCAATGAAGTATACCAAGCCTGTTTTGACACCCTACACCCTAAATCCTAAACAACTCTAAACCCTAAACCCTAAGATATGCATTGAGATCATGTGGCAGGCCCTACTTGTTAGCTTTCACAAACGAAGGGGACCCCAACATAGACCCCCTTCTGTGTAGTCCACATTATGGGCCCAAACCTTAAACCCTAAACTCAAGGGGATCCTGTTTGTCGGGAAACCTCGCTTTGAGCTTAGGGAAGACTTAGTACGCAGGTTCAGCATTCGGGTTGAATGTTGAAGACTTATGTCAGTTGGAGTCTAAATTGGGGTCCTCTAATATGGGAAACTACCCCTAAGGGTCCGAGGACCCACATAATAGGGTTTTAGGGCCCAATACTATAATATGAATGGTACTTGGGCCCTAAAACCCTATGATTTGGGCCCGTGGACCCTTAGGGATACCATTTAGGGATTAGGTGATTTGATCCCAAACCCTAAACCCTAAACGGTTATGATGCATAGTTGTGGAGCCGAGTCAGGGTGCTATAGGCAGTAATAAGTCTATAAGCCCCCTGAATATCCAAGTCGGAACCAATAAGACCATCATCACAAAGCCCAAAACCCCTATACCCCAAAATTCTAAACCCGAAAACCCCAAACCCTCAACCCGAAAACTCTAAACCCCAAAACCCTAAAACCCAAAACCCTAAAACCCAAAACCCTAAAACCCAAAACCCTAAAACCCTAAACATAAAGTGCTGGGCCCTTTGGCGTGGCAACTTTGCCGCTAAACTGACTTTGTGCTACAAGATCCGAACGCTGGAAATTTGAACCCCAAAACCGCTATTTGCTTACGAATCACCCAAAAACAGAAATATTGTTCCTGATAATTAAGCCCGGCGAGAAAGGGAGGCTCCCCCAATGTGAGACACTAACACTAAAACCATGTCTGTTTTCCACAAATCTATGGCCCACATATAGACTCCAAAATACTATAGACCAAATCATAGGCACTCCCAAAACGTGACCCCTGATCTATGGAAACCCTTACCCCTCGAAGCAGCAAAATAGTTCCAGTTGCCGTTTCATGTTACATGTTCTTTTACATGTAATCCTCTGGTATTGGTGTACTATCCCGAAACCTAAACCCAAAACCCGTCTAGCTGAATCTTCTTGGACGTTTGTCATCCCAACCCTCAGATTACAAGAACGTGTCTCTGTGTTTAGGGTCTATGGGGTCTAGGGTCCAGGTCTTACGGTCTCGGGGTTTTGGGTTTAGGTGCTCATAATGTATGGAGCTCTTTCAAGGCTTGCAATTTCACAGACGCTCCCTGAAGATGATGTAAGGTTTTACACAGACATAGGTTCAACAATATCATTTAGGTGGACCCGCCACCCAGTAATAGTGAGTATAAGGGATAATAGGGATTATATTAGGGTCCTCCTATATTCTCATTATACCACTTTTACAGGGTGGGGAATCCTCCTAAAATATCATACAGTACCCTGAAACAAACTGACGCCGCACAAACTCTATTACCATCTCTTCTTCACCCCAAACCCTACACCCTCAAATTATTCTACTGCTGCTATTATAGCTACAGCTGCTGCCAGCCTAGCAGTACTTCATCTGCTACTCTGTAGTCTAGCCGTAGCCTTCTCAAAGTGCAATGTAGCTATACATCGGAAATATACTTGGTCCCAATGTTATTTCCAAAGTGTATACTATCTGCTACATCGATCCTCTGGGCTGGTCAACCATTGCCGTCCAACTGTCCAACACCCTCTTCTTGCCGTGAAGCCCTGCCTATGCGATGACCGAGGTCCCGGAAGATGGAGAGGGCTTCCTGCAGGAATTAAGCTGGGTCGGGCCTAAAAAGAATAACAGTAATAACCGTACTAACAGCAAGAACAGTACTAATAGTCATAACAGTAATAATAGTAATAACAGTAATTGGGCCCAGAGTTTTGGTCGAGTCTAACGAAAAACTACGAGATTGTGCGCTCTGTCTGCATATCGATGTGTCTAAAAGCAGGGTCGCCGGGCTTTTCGTAGATGAAGCCCGCAGATCCTTGCGCTGTATATGAATGAATGAATACATAATGAAAATGTGTATATATATATAAATATACTGTATATATGTTTATATTGAGGCCTACCCGAAAGGGCTATCGACGCAAGCGCTTTTACGGTCATGGGAGGCATGGGATTTCGTCACAACGTAAATGGAGGAAATCCTGTAACTCGAAGGATATATTTACATGAAGCAGGACGTTGCAAGCTTCCTTGACCATGTGCATAGTAGCTCCGCTAACACTACCTTTAGCTTGGAAAAGCAGTGCCAATTACATGGCGATCCAGCATTCCTAGAGGGTCCCTCGAGCCACATGGTATACACTTGGGCCCAAAGTAGTTGCATGAGAACCGGTCTGGACTTTGAGTATATACTATGTCCCTGCATCAACACGTTGGGAACATTCTGGGGGAAACCTCGCACAAATCCACACCCGCCGACAAACTTGGGAAGGTGCTGCCTACTTTTTCCAACGCTTTATGGTTTAGGGTTTAGGTTTCAGAGTTCATGCGTCATCGCGCATTATTTTAATGGTTGGCTATTACTGGAGCCCCCTACATCTGTTGTGGGTGATTTTTGTAAGAAGAACATAGCTTTGCTTGGTCCAACTACCAAAACGCACCCGGCAATTGAGATGGTATTCAACATTGACTTTAACTCGCCTCGAGCTCTCATGCTTCAGGATCTATTTTCAGGCGTTATCCAGCACCATCAACTCGTATGGTTCAGGGCTTTAGGATTTAGAGCTTGGGGTCTAAGCAAAGGCTGGCCTGGCAAGTACTTCTGCAAAAGGGATCATTCAGCAGATCACCGGAGCCTTTTAGGGTTGGGGGTTTTTAGGGTTTTAAATAGGGTTTGTGAACATTCCAGCACTCAGTAACAGTTGGGATAATATCCGTTCTCGTAGGATGTCCAACAGCCCTTACTTCTACCAGAGTGTAAACTGGTGCTGGGGTCATAGCCCAGCTATAGCTCGCCCCTTGAACCTCCAAGCAAGGTCGCATCCTTAAGGAGTTGAGACCCTAAACCCTAAATTCTTAATCCTAAACCCTAAATCAAAAGCGTTCTTGTTCGCCACAGGATCGCAAACTCTCCCCCACCCTGTCACCTCAACCATCCTCAACCCAAAAAACCGGGCCCAAATCAGCCGAAAATGACCCTCAAATGGGGGCATCACTTCTCTAATAACAACCCCCCCCCACCCGCCTCATAAGATGTACTCCCTATTTCTGCATGTACACAATATCTTATGTATATACTGTTGTTTTTTGTATAGTGGGAAGCGTATCTCTGACAGGGAACCCTGTTTGGAAAGGGGTGGTTAGTACCGGCCTCCTCTGACCTTCAAGGGATAACCGGCTAAGGGTCTAGGGTTTAGGGGTTTAGGGTTTAGGGGTTTAGGGTTTAGGTTTTAGGGTTTGGGGGTTAGGGCTTTAGGGTTTAGGGTACTCAAAATGCCCAGAAAACCTGTTTGAGGGTCAGGGAGACTTAGCGAGTACACTTCTAACCCCTATAAGCCATATGTATTGTAGTCTAAACTCCTTGAAGAGGGTTTTATAAAGGACGATATAGGGGGCCGCTATAGGGCTTCTTGTGGGGGATACTAGGAGTTTAGACTATAGCTCATATAGTAACACAATTATCCCTATTCTAAGCCTATCCATTGGGTCCCTGACCCTTGAAGTATGAGATTCAAAGCCCCAAGTGGCGGAGGGTCCTTGGCGTCCTTCGCTGCATCCTTCAGACAGGTGAAGCGAATTTGCGCATTCTAAACCCTAAACCCTAACGCCTAGACCCCTAAAATTGTATGGGTGTTGCAGCATTTGAGGATGTGGAACCACTTCAGGGTCTAGGGTTCCGCACCTTTTTTTCTTAAAGTTGGGGTTGCCATGTTTGCCGCCCGTCAGTTAAATCGTGCTACTCAGGCGATGAGACTGGTGACCTTGTACGGACTGCGCTATAGCTCTTTCAACCATCTGAGCCATACTCTAAAATCCAAGTATCCGCCTTCATGCCCCGTATAATCGTCCCCTGTATAAACCCCTATATAACCCCTTTACGGATGTTAGACCCAAAGCCCTAAACCCTATGTACTCCCCCATATAGTCCCCCTTTAAGGAGTTGAAACTATAGCTCATGACTTGACTGGTTCCCTTGCAGAACCCGCAAAGGAGTGCCTCTGGGATATTGTGTAAGGTCATTAGTTGTGGGTTTGGGGTTTAGTGCTTAAGGTTTACAATGCTGATGCTACAGGAAGATGAACGTCCAAAGTGAGCAAAGCCACATAAGCCTGAAAATTACGTACATCAGCCATCATCCAGGAACCTAAGGAAGCCTACCCTCCACGAAGTGGTTCGGAGTAGGGAATGAGGAGGTATATGTCCTGAAATATGTTCCTACATAATTTAACCCCTGACCCTGAACCCTTAACCCTATCTATATATATATATATATATCTTTCCCTTATTCCCTACTAGCCCCCAGCAAGTCAAAGCGGTAGACTTAGTCAAAAAGCCAACCAAGGTCCATCGAAGGCTATACAGTGCAGTGTTAGGCTTCAGGAGTTAGAGTTTCAGGGTTTGCTGGTCCCGTCGCCCTCACCCCTGCCCGCAACTTCGTCTCCAGCTAAGAGCCATCGAGCTGTGTTGTTCCGGATCTTATTTCTCAATGCGCTACTCCGTACTTCAAGGATTCAAGTAAGTTGGGCCCTTGGCTTCGAGACTGGTAGTTAATCTTAAACCCTAAATCTTAAGCCCTAAACCCTGAACCCATGGCCACAACATTTCCTCACTTGAGCTGGCTGACCTGCTTGATGCCGTGAAATCCCGGGGCCCCCGCCACTAAAGACTCTGCGCTGCATGCACCGCGCACGAGCAGAATAGCCCTGCAAGATGCATCTAGGAAGGTTTACCAAAACTAGGGCTACCTTTTTAGAGGTCCCGCTTATAAGGAGTATAGTATTTTGGGGTCTTTATTCGGGCCGCCCTATTTTGGGAACCTATACCACTGGGAGGCTCAGGAAGACTTAGTAAGTCTAGTTCTCACCCTCAAAAACCATGTAATCACCCCAGCTTTCCCCATCATCCCTCGTACCCTGCAAGTTTAGGGGGTTCAAAAGGGGGATGAAGGTAGGTGGGCGACAGGATGCCTATTGTAGACTCCATTATGTTATAGTAGGGTTTACGCTTCAGGGCTTACGGTTTAGGAAATATGCCCCAACTTACCGGGTTACTGTTAAGTTCATCGACTTACTATGTTGGGAAACCCATATTATATACTGTACTTACCCATTATGGTGACTTAGTTAAGTTCCTTAACAGCAACCCAGTCTAGTCTAGGGCCTTGAAGAATTCACACGGGGCTTGGGGGTGCTGGGGGTATATTGCCAGAACTGTCGAAGACCTGTTTTGGAAGAATATCGATGATCATGCAAACTTTTACATTAGGACTTACATCCAACACCCATGTGGCTTGACTTCGGGGTCCCTCAAAAATTGGGCTGTATGTTACGGCCCAATGACTTACGGTGACAACCATTTACAGCTCAGGGTCGGGATTCAGAGGATAATATTGACACACCGTGAATCGTGGAGGAAGGTTCCTGGCACCGTTAGGCAGCCAAAGTCCTCTGTTCACCAGGGGAATTGTGATTTTAGGCTGAAGAAGGTTGAGAGTGTTTGCTCTTGCTTCTTGGCATTTGAGCTTGGGATTTCCGCTGCCCACCATCCTGTTCGGGCAGCTACTACGGGGCCTAAATAACTACCAATATCATGTTGAGGTCCATTTGGGGTACGGTATACTGTAATTATACCAGGATTATGGAACCATAATATTGGTAAGTATTTAAGGCCCTATAGTAGATGTCTGGCACTCAGGCCACACATAGGGAGGTCTGAAGCGAGACAAGGAGACATGTGTGTAGTGTAAAGCAGCAATGGAGCAGAATGTCAGGTCAGAGCCGTGCGATAATTAAGCGGTTGCCCGGCTTGGGGCGCTAACCACCCTTAGCTTTAAACCCAATTAGACTCTCTGCCCTACTTCCGTGTCACCCTCTGAATGAGCGCCATAACTTCGACTAAATAACTTCCTTGCAAATGGGTCAAGGGGACTTCGTAAGTAACTTAGTAATGGGGCTAGTCGTGATGTTTGTATGGCATCTGAGGGTTATAAGCAAACTTACCAAGTCCCCTGAAGTCCTGATGAACGTACAAGTAGCCTTAATCACAGGACACTGACTTGTTATTCTGGGTTGCTGTTCAGCATAAACATAATAATGAAGTTACCATGATAGTGACACTGCTTCCGAACTATGATTCCACATTATGGTAGGTAATTCTACGTTCCTTGACGATAACCCAGCGCGTTTTCCGGTGAAGATTGTCCGCTGTTTGGGATGCAGACATTATGCCTGGACACTACGGAACACACCTTTTGAGGGTCATACCCTAGATTCGTATGGTACATTCTCCTGCAACTAAGAGTTCCATGGCTCAAGGTAGACAGTAGCGTGGTATAGAGTTTTGGGGGCAGGGTTGAAACTTCCACGTTTGGGAATCAGAACGCCTCATACCTGGGACTTGCCAAGACTTTGATTCAGCATGTGTTGGGTCGAGGCCCCCCTCAATCGAGAGGATGATTTCACAGTTTGTGAGTATCCGCTTCTAGCAGTTTAGGGAAGATATAGCAGTGGGACAGAAACGTCAATGTGCATTACCCCGTTCAGCATGGGTCCACATCTTGGAACAGCTTCCCCACAGAGCTTAGTTGTTGAGAACCAGCTGAAGAGTTCTTACTCTTTGACGTACAAGTGGGGATTGAGGATAGGACTGGGGAATACAGGTGAGTAGTGTTTTTGGTGGTTCAACCTAGTAAGATTATATTCCTCTTATACACTCTTATAGAATACTAGACCTAAAAGGAGGATATACTCTTACTCTATATTGGTACCATATAGTATGCCCAAATAAAGTACAACTCCGGTGAAGTTAGATTCGGCCTCCAGGCATTTGCAATGGCCACCAAGGAGAATGGCAATTCTATGCAGTTCCTGATGTATTCGCATTGTAACTGCCAGTCTTACTAGGTTGGGGCCTACCCTCAACCCCAAACCCCTAAGCCCGAAACCCTAAACCCCACACCTAAACCCTAAGCCCTAAACCCCACACCTAAACCCAAAGCCCTAAACCTAAACGCTATGTAGCTGAGAAACCTGGCAAGGCACTGTCAAGAGTGGCGGCTGTCGTATGGCATTAATGACTTCACTCTAATCTTTATTCCCCCACCCCTAATATCAAGAATGCGACCCCCCCCCCCCTCCACCCTAAAAACGGGTTTTGGGTAATGTACATATATATGATCCCTTCTGGGGACATATTCAATGATAGGTGGTGGGGGTGGGCGGGTGTAGCATATATGTGTATATATATATATATCTATTTATTTACGGCCCTCGTCACAAAACACCAAGGGTATACACGCATGAATAGTCTTAACGCACCTGACTGTACATACCTTGACCACCAACCGTAATCAACATCCTACCCCTTAAGCCCCTGACCCAAAATCATCCTCATCCGTACCCCTTCAAGCCACCCGGATATTGAATATTCCCATCGCGGCATACTACAATATACTGGAGATGTTTCTATTAGCGGGTGATAGCGCCTTAATCTTCATAGTATAAAGAGCCCCATAGTCTATGACAAACCAATTGCCCGCAGTTTCCATGTCGTTCCCCCTGTCCATATATTCCCGCATATCTTCCTATATATCTCCAACGACCCCAATATATAGTCCCCCTTGAGTAGATAGAATATGGCGCAAATAGAATATGGCTTGGGTATATTAAAATGAGATCCCCATATACGCCATATTCTATCTACTTAAGGGGCACTATTTCTTTTGACAACATCAAAGTGCCTCTGCTCAGGTGTCGCTGCAGTTGCAGGATCTACCAGCTCTTCCTGCGACATGGGGTTTAGGGTTGCGCTTATCCTGCTAACTTTGGGTTCGGAGGTTTAGGGTAGGGCCCTAAGCCTAGAAATTATACTTAAATGGTGTGAAGAAATCTATACATGACCGCTGCTTTTGGCTAGTCGGCAGCTCAAATTTGCGGATCACCGAAAATTAGAGGTCGTCTTGGGAGGTTTCCTACAGTAAGGGGGAAAAAATTGCATTCTACTGTTGGGCCCCTGCTTATGGAAGCAAGCTCCCATGTACCATCCATGAAGCAGAACTGTACTGTTTCTAGTCTGACTAATTTGGGGGGGGGGGTCCTGGTTGGTCTTGGGAGAGGGGACCTCTCACAAACCTTAAACAAACACTTGGATTATGCTTGTAAACCCTAACGCCCCAAAAGCCTAAAAAAGCCTAAGCCCTCAACCCTAAAAACACTAAAAGCTAAAACCTACCAACCCTAAAACCTAAACGCTAAAAAAGACCTAAAACCTAAACCATCTTGACCTGCCGCTAGAAGGCTTAGGGTATTGGGATGCAGTGGAACATGGTCTCCCGGTAACCCAAACAAATTTTGGGCTCCCATTGTTTAGGGTTTAGGGTTTACGGTTCAGGGTTTAGGGTTTAGGGTGCGTAGAGTGCACAGGCACATACCTTGCCAGCGAGAACGAAAGCTGAAAAGGGCCCTATACCCGCGAAAATTCCCTACATGTAAGGATTTACCATCCTCTCCTGGGTTAGGGCTTAGGCTTGGGGTTTAGGCTTAAAGGTTCAGGGTTTAAGGTTTAGGGTTTAAGGTTTAGGGTTTAAGGTTTAGGGTTTAAGGTTTAGGGTTTAAGGTTTAAGGTTTAGGGTTTAGGGTTTAGTGCTTAGGGTTTAGGGTGTAGGCCTCTCCTAAACACAACTATTCCCAACATAGTACAAGACTAAAAAGAGGGGGAAATCGTCTTTTGCGAGTTCTCGACCCATATCCTAAGCCCTAAGCCCTAAGCTCTAAGCTAAGTCCTTCCTTATAACTTTGGGTTGGGCCACTCATAGTGGTATGCAAGGGATGCATAGGGACCCAATAGTTGCCATCACCTCTTGCGGTGACTATCAATGGATGAGCCAAGATCCTAAGCCCTAAACCCTAAACCCTACCTGAACCCCAAAAATGGGTAAAATAATGGCCCAAAACCCATTAATATGGCCAAAAAGGCCATTATTCTACATACTTTTGGGGTCTAGGTAATCCCTAAACCCTAATCCCTAACCCCTAATCCCGAATCGCAGGCCCAACCCAACTCATGACCTTTTCTGCCACACATGAACCAGGACACTGAGATGCTAGGGCTCAGATATACGATTTAGGGCTTAGGGCTCAGGGTTAAGGGTTTTATCCCTCCCTAAATGTCCCCTGAAGTAAGGGTATCTATCGAGAATCAGGAAAGGGGGGTCGCGTTAGAGGCGGCCTAAGCCCTGAAACCCCAACCTCCCAAAAAACCTAAGCCCAAAAACCTTAAATCCCTACACCTACACCCCAAACCCTAAAAACCCTAAACCCAAATCCTGAAGACTAAACCCTACCCTAAGGGTCCAAGTACCTAAAAATCATATTATACTTACCCCAAACCTGTACAGTTACTATTACCCAAAGCCCAAGTACCTAATTATTGGGTACTTGGACCCTAAACCCTAAACCCCATATAACCTTGTATACCCCTGTATATCCCCATATACCCCGATATACCCATATATATGCCCATATACCCTTATGTATACCCTAAACCCTAAACTCTAAACCCTAAACCCCAAACCCTAAACCCTAAATCCCTAATTCCTATCCCCTTTGAAGGGACCTCCCCCTGCCTCCGGCTTCGCCGCTCCGAGGCTAAGCGAGGCAGGACGGAAGTCGGGGGTCCAAAGGAACCCCAGCTCCTGGCAACGGCTTAGGGTTTAGGGTTCAGGGTTTAGGGTCTAGGATTTAGCTGTATTGTGAGGCTGGCAAGGAAAATGGAAGCTGGCCTTTCGTTTTGAGTTTGGACCTTAGGGTTTGGGGAGATGGAGGCTTATGGGTCCAATTAAGCACTTGTACCCAGGCTATACCCCGCTGTAGGCTATGAGTCGGGTTGTAAGGTCGGGAAGAAGACCAAGCTGCTGCGTCAAATGAACCTCCAGCTACGATTTAGGATTTAGGGCTGAGGGTTTCGGAGTTGGAGGGGTTACAGTGTGTAACCATACCCTACATGTTGGAACCCTGGATCCAGCACACAGATGATGTTGACAACCGTCCATGTACCTGGCCCTCTGATAATCATACTGCCTCCACATAGGCAACCTTGCTTCACAAGGCGTGCGTTTAGCTATGCAATCACAACCCACCAAGGACTCCGATTATGGGTGGTTGTCAAAATTATGGTCCCTTTTTGGGTACCCTAAATATTCGGTGCCGTAATAGAATAGGGACCCAAAAAGGGAC